GGTAACCCTTTTTTTACATCATTTTACTGAAAACATAAAAATTGCATTCATGACTTAACCAACGGTAAAAGTTAAGTCCTAACAATAACAAAAAAATTATTCATCACTTAATTTATTTTTTTAATCAAACATTATTACATCTATACATCCACATCTACTCCTTTTTGCCTCTCGAATTCTCTTGAGTAAATATAAAAATATAATCTTTCTTTTTCAGTACAAAATGTACTCTTTCTGGACGTAATGTGAGAAACAACTTATATAAATATTTCTTCAGTAAATGCTTTTCTTAATGAAATATTTAAATGGGGGTACAACCAAAATCATGAAGAAACTGTGTAATCCATTGCATAATAAAATATACCTGATTGGTAGTTTTGTTTTATGTGTTAGTATGATTCCCTGAGTCTTGTATTCATCCTGCACTGAATGACCAATACGGGTTTACAACTTTTATGTGAATGTAATAATGTAATTATTCATCATACATGATACACCTCAGAATTCATTGCATTTTAGCAAAATATAAAGTTTTTTTATTATACGCTGTTCAGAAATTAATGAAAATTTTACACAGTCCTACAAACATCTGTGCATAATACAGAGTCTGAAACTATTACATGAATAGTTTATACATCACATAAGATAATGCATTTTAATACTCTCATGATATAACTTTGGTTGCTATACCTGAAATTTCAATCAAAATTATTTTAGTAGGATAGTTGAACCATTAATTAACAAAAAACTATTCATGATGCACTATAACACTAATTAAACTGAGCTAAACAAATTTATTCCCAATCCTTATTAATAAACAATGAACATGTATAAACTTGTTTGGAATAATTCATACTATTATATTATTGTGAACAGATTTACAATATACATTTTTTAATAAGTAACCAAAGTAGAAAACAAAATATGATGCAGAATTTCAGTCATTAAAATCATGATGTACAATAAGTATTACAATTACCAGTATTTCAAGCTGTAGATAAGGCCAGTTTGAGTCCATCACTGGATGTGTCTACTGACATGTAACATCTACAACAAAACACGAGGGTGCAGTGGAATCACCTTCTTACTTTGACTCGATTTTTTTTTAAGAAGTTATTGCATCCTAGTTCAGATAGAAGTAATATTTTACAAATCTGTTATGATGGAGTACGATTTTAAAGACTGCATTAAGGCATCAAACTTATTAGCCTTCAATATTTAGTTACAGAGGGACCCAAGAATTAGACATGTTACGGGTAATTTAACATATCCACAAGCAAAATATTACAGTTTCCAAATTGTGTCCAGATCATTATTTACCCGAGTACTCTCGGGATATATTTATGAAGGTGTTACATTTAATAAATACCCTTTTTACATACATGGATAAAACTAAATTAACATCCATTGGTCTCTCTCAAATTTAAAGGAATATTAAAGGTGAGGCATTTTTGTCATGGTATTTACAAAACCACTCAAAGAAGTCAACTACAAACAATCAATGTATTTTGTCAGTGAAATACAACCCTCTGGAAGTGGAAAGCTCAAAAAAATATTTAATAGTAAATGTTTTAAAATATTTAGAAAACTGTATGTATTTAAATATCATCTTCAAAAAAGGTCCCTTAAAGATTAAATAAAATTGCCTACCATTGCTCCTGTGCACTATGACCACTTGCAGGGTTAGGGATTACCAATGAATAAAAAATGCATTAAAAATTTTAAATAATTATAACAGTAAAAAATAATTATTATTTTAAAATTTAAACATATTCATAACCATACAATGCAGAACACAAATGAAAAATACCAACTGAAAGAATTTAGTGAATCTCATAAAGAAGACTGAAACTGTGTGACAGTCGTAACAGCTCCAGGAGCATGTCCATTGGCTTCAACTTTTTTTATTGTCTCTCCCAGCTTCCGTGCATCAAGCATCAATTCCTTTTTTTCCCCTCCAGACAGATCAGCATCAGTTGATAAGGGTGGCCAGGTTTTATCATGTTTTAAGTCTTGTTCAATTGCTAGATACTTCTTCTTGGACTTATAAACATCATGGAATTTATTTTTGCATTTCCGATAACATAAGTAGTCGATTATTATGTATTCAATGAAGAACTGCTAGTGCAGAATACAGTAATGAATATAAGATCATCTGCCATCTAAAAAATCTGCCTGTTGATCACCTGCTGGAGGTAATACTAACTCAAACTGGTCAATAATGAATTGAGGAGGAGCAACTGTTAGAACCACACTGCATACAGTCTTACCAGGATAGATCCTGATAACAAGTAATTGGAATAGACATGCTGGCGGAAAGGTGGACCACGGGAGAACACTAATGCAAGCATAATATACTGAAATTGAGATACTGAGAAGACTGCATAATTTTCAGGCCAGCAAATATTTCGTCTGATGTTGTAGCATTGAAGGGTACATACCATGGCTGCTCCTGAACATAAAAGAAGCAAAATGTTTGGAAGCCAATTACTGCTAACTGTGAACCCCAATTGATGCTATGGGTGCTACCGAGAGGAGAGATGCTGGAGGAGAGTATGATGCAAGTGGACCCTTGTAGGAATCAGTGCGGCCAAAAAAAATGGCAAATACAGTGATGAGAAAGAGATCAATCCATAGGAACTGAAGATCAGTAAGGTTGCTATCAATTGAGTTTGAGAATCATAATAGATACAAAAATGAGTAAGTGAATATGCTGCCATGTATTTAAATATTCCAAAACTGGTAACAAGAGCACAGCGTCCTTCTCTGATGAGGGTGGGAACACAAGCATGTTGGCATTAGCAGAAGTGAAGGGAGAGGCTACAGATGCTTCAGCCTCGGAGAGTGAAATTCCTGCATGTGCAGCTTTGAGGGCACCACAGTCATTAGCTCCATCACCACACATTCCTGAAATTATGAAAATATCTTTACACATCTAGAATCTATGAAAAAATCATCTCTTAAAGGACTCTTAATTTAGGAAACTGGAGCACCCCACTTGATGGCCTCCCATTCCTCAAAACACTGTATGACCTTATGGGCTTTGTGCTTCCCCATGAATATAATATTAATCACCCCATTTTTAAAATTTACAAAGAATCACCACAATAACATTGATCACTATAACTATTAAGAGGAAACAACAGGGCCACAATACTAAAATTTACAAATAATCATCATACATTACAACTGACAAAGAATCTTAATACATGCCTAAAAGTATCATAATTTATGAAGGATCACCATACTCATTCTTCTAATTTATAATCCCTCATATTTCTTAAACTCTTAAGTTTTCAAATGTTCCTGAAATTTAAAAAACTTGCAACATATACCTAAAATTTAGGCAGTTTTTAAAGTGTGAGTGAACATTATGATCTATATACTGTAACATCAAGTTTTGATTTTTTGTTTTTCTTAATTTTCAAAGCTGTCCTGACCTACACAATTACAACCACTTCACACTTACTGTACATCTTGATCATCCATTAAATTTGGCTATATCTTATCAATTCATTTTTTTTTTAACCCTCCAAGTCCTCCTCTTGTGTATTGAACAAGCTAATAAATTAGAAAGTACAAAAAATAAAATGGTCTTAAATGAGGATGCAAAAAAATTTTGAACTTCCCAAAACATAATATCCAAGAGACTGAAGTTCTAATACAAGTTGTTGCTTCTGGTCAGGACTCATTCGTGCAAAAATAGCTCCTCGAACTACCAACTTCTGCAGCTTGTCTGCGAAATATTCGTGCACCACCCCCCAGGATTTGCCTTCTATAGCAAAACAGTATGAATCATTTGCATCATCATCTATGTTTTATGCCAACCCCAGCATCCACATGTCTCATTCCCTTGGAGAGAAGAAAAAATTATATATTTTTATATTACAAAAAATTTAGACAAAAAAAAAATTTAAAAAAAGGCCTACAAAAACAGTGCATGCATGAATGCCCACTTATAAGAAGCCACTACTTCCCCAGGAGTTGCACTCCTGTCTGGTAAACATTGGGAAGATGCTGTACTACTGACCCAATATATTTGAAAAACAATTAACACTACAGTATTTCAAATGATTCACTGAAATGACAAAGCATTCAGGGTCCCTTAATGTGATGATTTCAGCCTTTAAATGTGTTCGTACCTTGTAAAACTAATGCATGAACTATCAAGCCTTTGTTGAAACTTTTGGGGAAAATAAAAAAGGAAACTCTTTTGCTCTATATCCTTCACAGGAAACAGAGGTGTCTTGAAGTTGCTCAAGAGCTCTTGATCTGAGGAATTGAAGCTACCCTTCCTCATATCAAACCTGATTACTTTCCATTACTCAGTCTCTGACTCCTATATGTTTAGCACTTTCCCATGAATAACAATAATAAAAATAAGTGTTTTACATCACACTATTTGATCATTGCAGATATTTTTCAACTTCTCAAAAACCTACTTAATATTTACCTGAATTTAGAGGCTAAGCATTCACTGGGCCTTGTAAATGAGCAGGCCTGAATGGTTAAAAAAAATAAAAAAGACTGCCAACATGTTTGGGTCTTGTGAGATAAACTACATGGAAAAATTTAGACACTAAGGAAACAAATTTAACTGAAGGACTAACCACTGGAGATGCTGGAGTTTTGGCTGTGGTAGCATGGAATGTGAGAGATGCTGGCAGGCCCTGGTGTGGAGGGAGAGCCTTGATACTGATAACCTGCTGCTGTGGACCAACCAAGCCACACTCACGACCAACACTCAGAGCTGTCAGCATGTTGTCCCCTGCAACAAAAATATACCTTAAAAACATTTTACTACTAAACAATTTAACATAGTTACAAGCAAAACTGCACTACCCAACGTAGCACCCAGAATGACCAAAGATTACCAACAGTGAAACCTACAAATCGAAATAATAGACATCAAAGGAAGACTCCCCACAACCGAAAGCAACACCCCGCTGCCAGCCCGAAAACGTAACCCTAAGCTTTGTATAACTACAACTTTTCTTAACTACAACAATTCCTGTAGTATTATGAGGCGCAATTAAGAGGAAACAAGCACCAAGGCCAGCAAGAAAACACTAAAAAATCAACTATTCAACAAGTGTAGCCAGGAGGACCCCGGCCCAGAAACCACCCCACTCACCACCGCTCAAGGCGACACCACAACAATAACAACAAACATGGCTGCCACCAGCCCATCCTCCCTCTCTTCCCCGGATTCAACCTACCAAGTAGTCTCTCAGGTATGACCAACGATCCAGATACCCAAAAAAACATGCATCTCCAACTTAGTTTTTGAAAATATGAATCTTCGAGAAGATGCTAAAAAAACAGACACAGGATGACACAACTCGAGAACAAAATCCTCAGTCTTGAACAAAAGTTATCAACACAGGAATGACTAACTGTGACAAGACCATCCAAGCAGTCATAGTTTAGCCATACCAACAAATAATATCTCTTAATACAAAGGTGAAGATGCAGTAAAAGAATGGAAGAACAACTTAGATAACCAGTTCAGTGACTATTTTTGCTCTCCAAGAAGATAAAACTGAGCAAGAAAAAACTATCAGACGCAGTAATAGTTAACAGTCCACTTTTTCCCAGTGATATGAACCAAACAAACAGTAAAGAAATTACTCTGCAGATCATAAAGGACCAAACAAGTGTTTTTGTCCCAAGAGTCAGAAATAAAAGAAGCCAGGTTACAGGATCCATGGTAGAAAAAGTTTTATGCTTAGATTCCACTCACATGACAGGAAAAAGACTTAATTATTGCATCTATTAAAGTAAAGAAAGAGGTATACATAAACGAGTGTCTTACCAAAAAACGTCAGAACCTCCTGAATAGTCAGAAAAACTTAAGCGGGAGAAATAATGACACAATACACCAATGCTTCACACGAGAGGGGAAAAAATTCTTGTTAGGAAAACAAATGTAGGTCAAACTGTACACAATCACGAACGAGAATGATCTATCACGTTTTTCTCAGGTTTACTAATTTTAAACAGAGAATAACTAAACAATGTCCAACCTAAAAGCCTCGTAGTGTAGTGTATGTTTTGCTCCATTATTGTTCAAATTTCATTGTACAATCTCTTAGTAATTAAATAATAAACTACCTCATTTTGTGATTTTACTAGTAAAGCATAAGCCACCTTATGTAATTTTTCTTATTTACTATTGTTTGCTTAAACATTAGCTGAATTGATACTTTCTTTTGTCAATTATTACTACCTCATATTTTTTTAAATACTATCAATTGATTTTACTTACAAAAAATTAATAATTTCATTTTTACTATAATTTCAATTTACTCTTAACATTTTTGACATTTAATAACCTTTTACTTGTCTAATTACCTTTACCTGTTTTAATACCACATTTACTATCTTGGGAGTACTCTTAATTACCTTGTACTGCCATATAACCTCTAGTATAACTACCAGTGAAATATTGAATGAAATAAACATTACTTTTTCACTTTTTTGTAATCATTTTTAAACTTACTAAAATTTTTTTAAAAACACCTTTTTTACTACCAGTAATTTTACTTTTGTACATTAAACATTATTTTATACTTCCCATACCATTTTTTTGCCAAATTTTCAAGTTTGTAATATTCAACTCCAACCTTTATATTTTTCCTTTGTACCTGGGGTACCTGAGTACCTGTCTACCATCTTACTATCATATTATAACCAAGACATTACCCTTGTTATTTTTTACTATTATTCTTTTGGTATTTTAAATTGTGAATTATATTTTGTCAATTTAAATTCTAGTTATACTCCTGATCTTGTCAACAACCTATACCGGGACTCTAGTGAAATTGCAATTTCCTTTTCCCAATTTGTATTTTTATATTATATATTTTATATTATAATTCCTACTCTAAGATTGTTTTCATATCTTAGTGACTATATTGTGTGTGCAATTAGTGTATATTTAAAATTAAAATTATTGTTCAAGGCCCTTAACTATATTTTGCTAACTAGTACCAACTACCTCATATTTTTTTTCTACTTTTTTTATTCTTTTGCTACCTTAACTTGTATATTTTATCTTGTCAATTTAAATCTAGTTATACTCTAATTCTTGTAAACAACTTATATAACACCTTAGTGCAATTACAATTGAGAGTCTTGTCCCTTTTTTTTATATTATTAGATTAAACTCATTTGGGTACTTTTAGTCAATACCAAATTCATTATATTAGAATATTTGCAATTCTAGTGAGGACGGGTTTGCATTTTTAATTTGTATTTTTATATTATTAGTTTAACCCTTTGACTGTCGCAACCCCCAATCCTGAGGTGTCTCCGGTGTCGCAAAATTTAAAAAAAAATAAAATTTTTTTTTTCTTATGAAATGATAGGGGAATCTTTTCCCGATTGTAATGACACCAAAAAAACAAAATTTTGATGGAAAACTGACGGAAATTATGCTCTCGCGAAGTTAGCGCCCTCGGCGCTGTTTACAAATCGGCGATTTCGCCCACTTTGAGCCCTATTTTCGGCTAATTCGATTTTTTCCAGTTGCCAAACTCATAGCTATTTCTTTAGAACTCCTTTTTTTTCTATCGAGTGAGTACAAGAAACTGCCCATTACCGATTTCAAACTACCTAATAATGTGGTCAGAAATTTGCAATTTGGCCAATTTCACAAAAACTAAAAAATATGACAATTTCAAAATAAGGTCCAGAATGAACAATGCAGACATCCTGGCTCTAAAATAACATTTTCTTTGTTCATCAGTCATGTCTTCAGGCCCCCTCTGATATTACTCTTGCTTTCTATTTTGAATTTTTTATTCAAACAAAAAATAGAAGACTTACTATCTTTGCAGACTACTGCAAAACTGTAATAATTGTTAAATAACATCAACCAATTCATGACTGCATATTAGAATGGCTAGTTGGACATTTATTGGACAATGGCATCATTTGTTTACTTTTGAACATTGGCAAAAATCAAACATTTCCCCTACTTTGAGCTCCATTTCTAGGTTCTTTTTATAGTAAAATCAATCAAAATCACCTCTATTTCTATAATATGTTTTCCATTCTATCAAATGAGACCAAGAAAACGAGAATACAACCATAAATACTATACGAAAATAGACCACCAAGTCGGCATTTTAATTAAAAAAAACGGTTGGAGTTTTTTTTTTTCTCATTATGCACTGCGTGCTCCAGGATTTTTTTTATATGGTGCACACTGACCACACAGACCCATTCTCTCACATGTGGGCCTACCAGCTTTCTCCTGCTTGATTTGAAGCCACTAGAATTTATGAGTATATATACGTCAAACACGGTACCTCGTAAGACGTATATATACGGCCGCGACAGTCAAAGGGTTAAATCTAGTTGTACTATAGCTCATTCTAGCTCAAAACATAGACTCCACAAGTCATTATATTAGACCTTAGTGCAATTATTTGATTACCACTTTATTGTTCACCACAAACTTATATTAGTCCCCTTTTTTTTTATGATTTTATATTATAATTCTAACTTTAAAGAATTACCTTTAAAGTACTACCTACTATCATATTCCCAAGCTCCATTATTTGATCATCACTTTATTTGTTCACCACAAATTATTTTAGTCCCTTTTATATTGTCTCCTTTATTTTTTGCTTTAAAAAACTACCTTAGCTCATTATTTTTACATTTGTTAAATAATTCAGGTGCTATTTTTTAGCTTAGAATATTTACTTTGTTTTATACTTAATTTTAACTATAGATTCACTACAAATCTTATGATTACAAGCATTGATCCTGATACCAACCTCTTATTTAATGACTTAAATGATTCAAACAGTTATTGTAATTACTACACAGCAGAACAATCAAAGGCACTTCTCAGAGCCAACAACAACATAACTATCTTTAACTTACAATATCAGATCTTTAAGCAAGCATTACGATGACCTCCTAGCATTACAAATTCCTTGCATGCAATGTCCATCATTACACTAACTGAAACCTGGCTAAAGCCTGATACTACAGATGTCTATGCCATTCCTGGTTACACAGTCATACACAACTGTAGGCCAGACCAACAAGGGGTGGCACCCGCTATATACTACTCAGACCAACTAGAATGTATCACTAATACTTGCACAGGGATGAACATGGGGAATATATAATAGCTAATTCAAATCCAAATACCTACAAAAACCCCTCACAGTGATAAACATCTACAGAGTTCCACAATCAAACATTAGCCAATTTAGTCAAAACCTAGGAAGTATGATAAACTGATGCACGCATGAACAAAAATCACTTACTACTCTCAGGTGACTTCAATATAAATCTCCCGCAAGACCAGGACCCATAGGTTTCTGAATTCACAAAACAATGGTAAACTGCATGTTGCTACCAACAGTAACAAAACTACAAGAGTTACGGAGACTAGTGGTTTTCCCTACTTGACCACATCTGGACCAACACCATATCCCTTTAAAATCAGGCATTTAAATTTCAGATAATTTCCACAGACACTACCCTACTTTCTCATAACAACTCTTGGTAAAATATCCCCAAAACACTACTAAAGTCACCTTCGACTTCACAATGAGGCAGCCATTAATAACTTCACAACAGCAGTAACACACATTGACTGGCACACTGAGCTAGAAATCTATACAGGGTATTGACGAATGTTTTAATAATTTTCTAAAAAAAACCCAATACCTCTATAACAAGCACTGCCCTAAAAAAACTAAACAGATGACCCGCTAAGAGATTGAACAGTCCCCGGCTAAC